AGCAATCAAAAAAGATAAAATCACGCCATTCACAGCAACATGGACAGAGCTGGAAGGGATTGTGTTCAGTGAGATAAGACAGAAGGAAAACGAAAAATATTGGATGGTTTCACTTATTGGAGGAATATAGGGAAACCAAATAAGGTATCAGGAAAAATAATAATAAGTAAATAAACAAAATTAACAGGCAACTATAAATCAGAGACGATCTGCAGGGGAGGAGAGGGAGACGGATCAAAACAGGGTAGGGAAGAACACAAGTGACCATGGTGATGGTGCACGGGTGAATTGGTGTTGGGAATTTTACGGGGACTACACCTGAGAGGAGAAAGCATACATTGTACAAAAATGAACAATGACATAAAATACACATAAACAAATTAATTAGAAAAAACTAGAAAAAGAAAAATAATAATACTGCAGTTTTCTTTCCTGGGTGATTTTTTGCATATTATACCTTATTTAATCACTATGTATGCATGAAATAACAGAATTTATTTAGTCCACAGATAAACTATATTACAGAAATTCTAAACTCATGAAATGAAGGATACTGTGGCTATATATTTAAAACATACCAAGTTTGTTCATCAGGAGGCAAATTTGCTACTTTCAGATACATTTATTCAATGTGAAGAAAGAATCGGTGTGAACAAATAAACTAATTTAGACCAAAAAAAAATTTAACTTTTTAAAATCATGCAGAAAATTCTTTAGGATAAATTTTTAATCTAAATTACCAACCCTTTGATAAAAACTCTTAACAGAAACATAAACTTCACAAGACAAATCCCCTCTCTTTATGTAGTAGTTAAGATTATGGGCTCTGGAGTTACAAACTGTGGGTTCAAACTACATACGCTACTAGATCCAAGATTCCTAAGGTGGTTCAGCTTCATGAAATATCAATCTCCTCAGTGGTAAAGGTTTGATAAGCACAAAAATAAATTTTAGCAATCTTTATTATCTGATAACAAGAAAGAAAATACACGGCCTGAAAAAAGTACATAATGATTAATCAAAGTGTGAAGTCAGAAATGAATAACAATCCCCTAAATTAAGCTATATCATAATCACATATCTTTGTTTTCTTTCTAAGAATACTGAAACATTATTCTTACATGAATAGATAAGCAATATCATGAGGCCTTAGGGTAAGATAGGACTGTTTTCCATTCTAAAAATGCATATAATACTTCATCTGCCTCTCCAGCTGTAGAAATCTTATTTTTATCTGACCAAAACTCCAGTGACGACAGCACAATAGTAACTTTAAATTGGGCAAACATCTAAAAACAGAAAAGACAAATACTTGAAAAATTAATCTTTGTTAATTTATAATAACTAAGAAATTCAGTATTTTGACAAATCAAAACTTAACTTATATGGATGACTATTATTCAGAAATGCCATATCAAGTTAAAGTGTAATTTCAAAACTAATACAAATTTTTCTAACTAGTATGAAATGCAAACTACTTACCGAATTTACAAGGCCAATAATTTCAGTGACTTTACTTGTTACAATCATGCCATCAGAGCCCAAGAAATCATACTGAAAAACAAAATTAATTTTAAATTTAAATACAATTTCTTATGTAATGTGTTTGAGGTTTTTTTAATAAGATTTTCATAGATTTTCTTTTAAAGATTTATTTATTCATGCATATAAGAACCAGGGTACAGGGCAGATGTGCAGAAGGGTGAGAGGATTCACCAAAATCAGAGCAAGGAACAGAACAGGCAGACCAACAGAAATACACTGCTGAGGGAGCAGCGGGGGCGAGACGGGAGAGGTCTGCAGGGCCATATGGGTATCTCCGCAGCCAGCCGGGATCAAACCTGCATTGCAGAAGCTGCAGACAGCTTCACAGCGCCACGCTCAACCGCCTGCATCACCAGGGAGGCCCCTGTATTTGAGATTTACTCTCCATTTACTCCCAGAGATTTGATGCTGCGTTTAAAATAAGCCAGTAACAAATTTAAAAAATGGATATAAATTGGATCACTTATACATGCTGGTAGCTATGTAAAATCATGCAGCTACACTGAAAGTAGTCTAGCAATTTTGTTCAAAACAAATACTGCGTGGCCTCCCAGGTGGCGCAGGCGGTTGAGTGCAGCGCTGTGAAGCTGTCCGCAGCCGCTGCAGTGCCAGTTCAATCCCCGCCGGCCTCGGAGCAACCCACATGGCGAGCAGACCTCTCCTGTCTCGCCCGCTGCTCCCCTCAACAGTATATTTCGTCAGTCTGCCTGTTCTGTTCTCCACTCTGTCTCTGTGAATCTTCTCACCCTCCGGCGCATCTGGCCTATACCCCGGTTCTTGTATAAATAAATAAATCTTTAAAAAAAAAATACTGCAGAGGTCAGGGGAGAGGAGACAAATTATGGACTCAGCATATGACCCAACTGAGAAGAATGACATATTCAAAATATTCAAAGGTAAAAACTGCCACCAAGAATACTATATCTTGCAGAAATGAGCAAGAAATAAAGATCTTCCCAGGAAAATAGAAACTGAAGCACTTTGCCAACGCTAGACCTCTTTTTAAAAAAGATTTGGGCCTCCCCGGTGGCGCAGCAGGTTGAGTGCAGCACTGTGAAGCTGTCCACAGCCTCTGCAGCATGGGTACAATTCATGGCTGGCCAAGGAGATACCCACATGGCGCAGCAGACCTCTCCTGTCTCACCTGCTGCTTCCCTCAGGAGTATTTTTGGTCCATCTGCCTGTTTTGCTCCCCACTCTGTCTTTGGTGAATCCTCTCACCTCCTGCACCTCTGGCCTGTACCCCAGATCTTGTATAAATACATAAATCTTTTTAAAAAAGAAACATTAAGATGGAATTGAATAAGAAAATAGATACAAACAAAATTAAAGAAAACATGACAGTAGCAAATTCTCATTTACAATAATCACTCGCAGTATAAATGTACTGAACTCAGGGATAACACGGCCATCTGAGCTACAAAGATAGGGGGAAATAGATAGTCATGTGCAAGAGAAAAAAACTAGACAACTCAGATCATGCACAAAAATTAACACAAAATGGATCAAAGGCTTGGATCTAAGTCCTGAAACCATAAAATTCTTAGAGGAAGACATATACCTCAACACTAGCTTCAGAGATATTTTTGGAGACTCAACTCCAAAGATAAGGGAAACAAAAGTAAAAGTAAACAAATGGTACTAAGATCAAGCTAAAAAGTTTCTGCACATTGAAAGAAACTATCATTAAAGCAAAAAGGCACACTATTGAATGGAAGAAGATATTTGCACAAAGGATTGACATCCAAGATCTACAAAGAACTCATATAACTCAACAGAAAGAAAAGAAATAGCTCATTCAAAAAACAGGCAAAAGAGCAGCTAAATAGAAACTTTACCAAAAAAAAAAAAAAAAATACATAGATGGCTAACAGTCATATGAAAAAAAGCTCATCATCACTTTTCAATCAAAACAATGATATAATTACTCTCACCTATGAGAATGACCTATACCAAAAATACCAGAATCAGCAAGTACTGGCAAGGGTGTGGGGAAAAAGGAGCCCCTTGTACACTGTTGGTGGGAATGCAGACTGGTCCCGCATTTCTGACTGTACCCAGTGCATGTATAAATAAATAAATAAATCTTTTTTAAAAAAATGCTTATTATCAGAAGAAAGCTTGGAAAGTACATTTTTATATCTGTTTTCTGATATGTTTGAAATAGAGGGAAAATAAAGTTACACCTGGTTGAGTACAAATTACATTATTACCCCAAGATCCTGAAGTTCCCAGGTCCTCAAATTAATTTATGGGAGTCAGAAATCTAGAAGCATGTTTAAACCAGGAAATAATAGACTGGAAAAGGTGCACCATTAAAACCTGCTGAAAAATAATTCTTGACAGATTAATGTAAGCACCTATTGTGTAGTTATATGGTCATCACTCTTGTGCCAATAAATATTTTTTAGAACAAATTTCCCCATACTTCAAAAGCAAGAATAAAGGCTTCAAGAATTTCACTTAAATTTTAACAACAAATATTGTGTATTGGTATAGACCCTAAAGATGTGATGTACTAGCAAAAAGTCATTTGTTATGGACTGCTATATAAAGATTTCAAATAAAACATTTCTGACAGAACTAGTATAAATTTGAATATTCAGTTTCTCAGAAGGCAAATTTTTCCATTGTTCTCTCTATGACATTTGAGTAGGTTCAGAATATTTAAGATCTTTTCCAGTAGGGATAATCATACATTCTCACCAAATATTTAAAAGCAAAGAAAAAACAATGCACATACCAAAATTTTGTCCACCACAATATGCATTTCTAGATAAAGTGGAATTAAATCTGAAACAGCTGGTTCTGCCTAAAGAAAAGAAAAGCAGCATTTAAAAATGTAAAAACTTTCACAAATTATTTGAACTTTTAAAATCTTTTCCCACCTTTACTGAAAGCATAACTGACAAAAATCATGTATATTTAAAATATAGGACTTGATATCTTGGTATACACACACACACACACATACAATGAAATAATTGCCAAAATCAAGCTAATCAATATAGCATTACCTCACAAAGTTACCTTTTTTGTATGGTAATGAAGTGTAAGATCAAACTCTATTAGCAAATTTTAGTTTATAATTCAGTATTGTTAACAATAGTAATGTTACTTACTAAATCTCCAGAACTTTGCACAACTGAAACTTTGTACATTTGACAAATATTTCCCCATTTCTTCTTGTCTCCAGCTACTAACAACTACCATTCTACTCTGCATCTATAAGGCAGACAGTTCAAATCCAACATATAAGTGAGATCAAGCAATATTAATCTATCTCTGGTTTATTTTATTTAGCATAATGTCCTCTGGTACACAGTATTGTCACAAATGGCAGAATTTCCCTCACTTTAAAGACTAATATTCCTCTGTGTGTGTGTGTGTGTGTGTGTGTGGTGTGTCACAATTTGTTTTTTTAAGAGGGGAAACAAAACAGACTCTTTACTGGGTTTTTTGGTTTTTTTTTTAGATTTATTTAGTTATGCATACAAGAGCCAGGGTGCAGGCCAGAGGTGCAGGGGGATGGGGGGTTTATAGGATTCACCAGAGACAGGGTGGGAAGCAGAACAGGCAGATCCACTGCAATATACTGCCCAGGGAAGCAGCAGCGGGCAAGACAGGAGAGGTCTGCTGTGCTATGTGGGTCACCTCCCTGGCCAGATGGAACTCGTGCTGCAATGACTGACAGCTTGATAGTGCAGAGACTTAACCCCTTGCACCACCAGGGCGGCCCCAGACTCTACTGTTTACAAGGTTATTTCTGCCTTGCAAAAAATTCTCTCCAGGCTTTTCTGCCGTATTTCACCTATTCAATCTTTGCTGCCATAATCTGACAATGCAAGAGCACTTTTTTTCTTGCGTCTGTAGTGGAAACCTGGGCAGCAAACAACTGTTTCAGATTTGTCAGCTAAATAAATGCCTTATAAAACATTTTCTTTTTCTGTCATTCATCAATGGATATTGAGGTTGCTTCCATATCTTCACCAAGGTGAAAAATATTTCCTTGAACACAACAGTGGGGATATCGCTTCAAAATGTTGATTTCATTTCCTGTGGGGATATATATATATGTGTGTGTGTGTCGGTGTGTGTGTGCATATGTATGTATGTGTATATATACACACACGTGTGTGCATATGTGTGTATATATGTATGTATATATACATACAGAAATGGGATTGCTGGATCATGTAGAACTCTCTTTTTTCGAGGAACCTACACACTGTTTTCCATGGTGGCTGTACCAAAGTACATTCCCACCAACAGTGCACAAGGATTTGCTTTTCTCCACATCTTTGCCAATACTTGTTATCTTTTGTCTTTTTGCTAATAGCCTTCCTAATAAGTGTGAAGCATTATCTTACTGTGGTTTTTGACTTGCAATTCATAATAAGTGATGTTGAGCACCTTTTCATGTACCCGTTGGTCATTTTTATGTCTTCTTTAGAAATGGATCTAAGTTCCTTAGTCCATTTTTTTTTTTCATTCTTTGTCAAATCACTTACAAAGAACTTGGTTTTATGCTATTAAGTTACATGAGTTTCTTATGCATTTTGGATATTAATCTTTTATCAGACATATGGTTTACAAATATTTTCATTCTTAAGTTGCCTTTTTATTTTGTTGACAGCTTCTGCTGTGCAGAAGCTTTTAAGTTTGATGCATTCCCATTTGTTTATTTTTGCTTTTGTTGTCTGTGTTTCTGTGGTAACATAAAAAAAAAATCATTGTCCAGATTAATGTCAAAAACTATTTTACCGGGCCTCCCCTGGTGGCGCAGCAAATGAGCGCTGGGCTGCGAAGCTGCCCACAGCCTCTGCAGCGCAGGTTAGATCCCCGGCCGCCTGCGAGGGTCCCACATGGCGTGCAGACCTCTCCTGCCGTGCCCGCTGCTCCCCTCAGCAGTGTATTCGTCACTCTGCCTGTTCTGCTCCCCGGTCTGGCTCTGGTGAATTCTCTCACCCTCCCGCATTTCTGAGTGTACCTAGTGCTTGTATAAATAAATAAACAAATCTTTAAAAAAATGTTTTAAAAAAAAACAAACTATTTTACCTATATTTTCTTTTAAGAGTTTTACTCTTTCATATAGGCGAAACACTACGGGATTTGCACATCAAAGACATCTTTACAGACACATCACCCAAAGCAGTGATAGTGAAGAGAAAGATAAACAGCTGGGACTACATCAAATTAAAGAGCTTCTGCACAGCAAAAGAGACAATAACAAAAACAAAGAGAAACCCCACCAACTGGGAGAACATTTTTGCACACAACACTAATGATAAAGGACTGATCACAAAAATCTGCAAAGAGCTGATGAGACTCAGCAACAACAAAGAAAATAATCCAGTCAAAAAATGGGCAGAAGAGCTAAAAAGAAACTTCTCTGAAGAGGAAATGCAAATGGCCAACAGACATATGAAAAAATGTTCAACATCACTTGTAATCAGGGAAATGCAAATCAAAACTACCATGAGATACCATCTCACACCAGTGAGAATGGCACATATTAAAAAAACTAGCAACAACAAATGTTGGCGAGGATGTGGAGAAAAAGGAACTCTTGTGCACTGTTGGTGGGAGTGCAAACTGGTCCAACCACTATGGAGAGCTGTGTGGAGATTTCTGGACCTACTAAACATAGAGCTTCCATATGATCCAGCAATTCCACTCCTAGGTATTTACCCAAAGGACACAGAAACAACAATTCCAAAGAGCACCTGCACTCCTATGTTTATAGCAGCACTGTTTACAATAGCTAAGCTTTGGAAACAACCCAAATGCCCAAAAATAGATGACTGGATCAAGAAGATGTGGTACATATATACCATGGAATATTACTCAGCATTCAAAAAAGATAAACACATGCAATTTGCAGCAACATGGATGGCACTGGAAGGGATCATGCTCAGCGAAATAAGCCAAAAGAAAAAGAAAAATACCGGATGGTCTCACTCATAGCAGGAATCTAGAAAACTTAAAGAAGGGACCAGGAAAATGAATATAAGAAAGTGAAAATCAAAATCAACAAAAAACTATGAACCAGAGACACTTTTTGGGGGTGGGGGGCGGGAGGGGAAGGATTGGGGTCAGAATAGGGCATTTGCAATTGTATGGGGGAATATAAAAATAAAAAATAAATAAATAAATTTAAAAAAAAATAAAAATAAATAAAAAAAAAAAATAAGAGTTTTACTCTTTCAGGCTTTAACATTTTAAATCTTTATTTTACTCGAGTACTTACAGGATATACTAGTATTTGCTTTACAATTGGTTAATATCAATACATAGTGCTTTAAGTTTCATTGCAGTTTACTCAAGGAATAAGATAATCAGTTATAAAGTTCATTAGACAATACAGTTTTTAAGTTTGTGACTTAAGATAAAACAACTAGTATATATAATCATCTTTTTCATATATGCATATTAGAAATAAACTAAATTTCTGTTCTAAAAATAATTTAGGTGGAAAATAGAAAAAATATTTGTTTTGTCACTTCTTCCTGCATCCACGACTTTGCATGTGCCTCCCATTAAGATATGAATCTATTTCTTCTCCCTTTAATATAGGCTAAGCCTTGTATGAATTATTTGCATTAAATAATAAATACATTGTAAGTGCTGGTGTGCTAGTTGTGAACCTGAATCTCAGGAAGTCTTGCATGCTACCACCCCAACATTTACAATCCTATGTAACATCTGTACAAACCTGAGCTGACATTCTAGACATAAGAAATAATGGTCCATTCATATCCATTGGTCCAATCAGCCATTGGTGTCTAGAGGCTAGAGGAAGACCGTGTGAAAATACAGGGAAAAGATGCCCATCTATAAGCTAAGAAGAGAGGCCGCAGAAGAAATCAAACAACCTGATTTTAGACTTCTATCTCCAGTACTGTGTGAAAATGAATTTGTGCTGTTTAAACCACCTAGTCTGTAACATTTTGTTATGATGGCCATTAAAAGAAGGAAATCTTGCTATCTAAAACTACAATAGATCTCAGTGCATTATGCCAAGTGACATAAATCATATAAAGGAAAAACAAATACTGTATTATCTCATATGTGAGATGTTAAACACAAACAAAAAAACAATGAATTCATAGAAATATAAAACAAGCTGATGGTTGCCAGAGGCAAAGGGGAAAGAATGATAGTGGCCAACAGATACCAATTCCCTGATAAAAGAAAAGCAAGTTCTGGAACTATAATGTACAATGGTGACTACAGTTAGCAATACAGTGATATATATTTGAAAGTTGCTAACAGAGTAAATGTTTAAAATTTTCATCACAAGAAAAAGATATTTGCAAAGTACTTGATGATAACCAAACTTATAGTAATAATTACTTTGCAATATAGACATATATCAAATCATGTAATGTACTTTAATGAAATATTACATATATGGCAATTACATCTCAATAAAACTGGAAGAAAAATTTATATACAAGTAACTTTTTTCAAAGAGTCACAGATTCTAGGTATTGAAAGCAAAAGCATAATCAAAGACGGGGTGCACCAACCTCTTGCCTAATATCCACAATAATATGGTAAAAGAGCTTCTAAGGGAATCTGGAAACAGCATCAATACTATATACAATACTTGGTAATCTAAGCAATTGTAAATCATCCCCATAAATTCTTAGAAGGAAAAGTAAATTTGTATTTAGTCAACAAAATATTTTTTAATTAAACACATGTGTGATAGCATTAATATTTTGGTGCTACATGGATATTACATAGTCCTGTATTTTAGTCCTGTATTATTTAGGATATAGGGTTAGAAACTAAAACAAAAACATAAGAATAACAGGGCATCAAACAAGATTGGAATTTTTTTCCTCTCATATTAAAGTCTGACAAGCTCATTCTGCCTCATTGCTCTGTAACTTATGGTATCTCCCTCATCCTGTAGGCTATCGTGTATCAACATGTTGTCACTGTAGGTAACAGGAAAGGGAAAAGGAGAAGAGGATAAGCTCCCTTCCTTTATAATTTAATTCAGATATGACACATATTTACATATGCTCACGTATAGTTAGCCATAATTTTGTCTCATGGCAAGGGAAATTTAAAAATGAAGTCTTCTTTCACCTAGATGAATTATGATGGATTTTATTTTTTTGTAAACTGACAGAAGATGGGAGCATATTTACTGGGAATAGTTAAGCTTATACCTCCTATATAAATTATACATACTTATGCCATTTGGCATAAAAATTGTGAAAAAAATCTTTCACAATTACTTTTATGAGGATCAACACATGTACGGGGTGTATAATGAACAATTTGCATAGCCACAAGTGACAATCCTGCGTATAATCAGCTTTAATTATACTTATAAGTAAACTAATGCTGACTATTTAGTTACTAATGCAACCTTCATAAACATTGGCTTTATCAAATTAAACTTCCAGAATATAATGGTAAAAGTATGAACTGAAATTTTTAAGTTTATACTGAATATACACAAGTTAATTTTCTAAAAGTTGTAAGTATGTAACTATAAAATAAAAATTAAAAAAACAAATCATAAGAAAAAGAGATGTGAAAGGTGGACTTTCAGTGAAAGCATAATGTAGTAGAGACAAATGTCAAATTTAATGTTGTACAAGAGAAACCTATAAAATGTTATAAACCAATGTTACTTCAATTTTTAAAAAGTCATTGCCAAACCAGAAAAAAATGTAAATAATTAAATGTTACAAAGAGAAAAATAGTGCTACATGGTTTAAAAAAAATTGTAAGGTAAGAAAAGGTAAGACTAGTCTCAAGGAGAGGTTATAGGTATGTAATAGTTTAATAAATTTCTTTTTAAACTATATTTAATAAAAGCAATAACTTCCTTGAAATTAATAATAAAGCATACGCAACTCACCTTTCCACTTATAAAAATGTTATAGTCCATTGGATTTTGTTTTATGCCTTTGTTATTTGCAGTAAGAATTGTAGAATCATTGTTTTCATTCCTTAATTTATAAAGAAGATGCTGAAATTCAACTTCAGATTCCAGAGGCTCGATTACATATGAAACATTTTCAAATTGTAGTATTCCTCTGTAAAATTAAGAATAAAAATGTGAGTGCTTTTCCTCAATTCTATGTTATAAAACTTTAAGATAGTAAAAGGGAAAGATGGAGGGCAAAGACAAAGGTAAAAGATACAGAACATATCTGAGTTGTTCTGACCCAGACTCTCTATGTTTTGCAGACTCTAAAGAGACAAAGATGTCCATAATTCCCAGAACTAAATTTCTGTTTTATTTTCTCTATGGTTATAAATGCAACAAAAATTATGTAACCAGCTGCTAGGTGTACAAATATACAACATTATAGTGATCAAATAATTCCGCTGGCCTCCAAATAAATGACTTAATAAAAGCAATAGTAAATAGAAAGCATCATGAGTTTGTCTCTGGATTATACTGCCTTTGAATAATGGTTACATTGCTTGTATAACAAAAAGATATATAATGAGCCATTTTATTTCTGAAAATAAAATTTGGCAGTAATTAAGAGAAGGTATTTCTTATTAACTTTGTTTTGTATCATCTGAATAAGAAAATAAAAGCAAGATTTTAAAGAGTAAACAACTGTTATTACTATTCACCCCTTAATCAGTTGTATTAGTTCATTTCTTTGTAAAAACAAGGATCCCAGACTACAAGATATAAGTGAAAAATTTCCTTACAAAATGGAAAACTCTATTCCAGAGTAAAACCTACAATTCTTAGGGAGTTAAAGACAATGATATTATTAGAAAAACATGAGTATAATATTAATAATTGTTTACAAAAAATTTGCCTTTTACTTTTAATGATGGTTTTCCTTTAGAAAAGGCATACCTTTATCTGTATCTTTTTATCTCCAAACACTAGGCTAATATAAGGTAGATATCAAAACCACTTGCTAGAAATAAGCTATACGAAATTTAGTTCTTCCAACTCGCTGTACACAGGTCTATTTAATTGTCATTTCTGTAGTTAAGAAGAAACAAGATCTAGACCAAGGAGACCAGGAACTCTAAATCTTCAAGGAAACTAGAAGTATCTCTAGTCAGTGAGGAAAGTGAAGACATTAGAGAAGACCTTTAGAGGACTATCTTCCACATAGAAATCCTCCTCTAACTACACTTATAATAAAAACATAATAAATTTACTGAAGCCAAATATCATAACTGTGGTATTCACATATCAATGGTAGAAAACATATAACCTCAGTCCAGAGCATGTGCTGAGTGTGACAACAGAATTTGGATGTTCTTCAATATATCCTTGGTAATAGCACTGAGTCTAGGAAAGAAAAGAAGCAAAGCCACTTAGCAATTGACAAAAATAATTTCTAATGATTTCTTAATTTTATACTTAGTAAAACTTTCCAAATACTTTTGATAGGCTACATAGTTTATATTTGTGAATAACATGACATTCAGAAAACAATCTCCCTATATTTGCTACATTCACTACTCTTCAGATTAATGCCCAGGATTATTTTATGCTGTTTCTAAATTATCTAATATCTTAGATAAAATTATTTTCCAATACAAAAAATTTAGGTAATCAATTAAAAGACAAAGGTTATGAATTCTGCTTTTCCTTAAAAACCCAATATTTGGCTTAAAAGAAATATCTAAAAATTGAAGGGCACAAGAATATTGAAGGCTAGAAAAAGTTACAGCATGCCAACACAAATGAAAAGGATGATTCCCAACATAAAATAATTCAGAAAACGCAGGCTTTAAATTAAGAGGGGCATTACATAATGATGAGTTTCAATTCACCAAAAAGACATAAATATTCCAATTTTGCATTTGTTTAGTGATACAGTTTCAAAATACATAAATCCAAAGTTGAAAGTAGAGAAATGCATAATCATAATAAAATTTTTAATATGCATTTCTGTCAATAACTGATAAATCAAGCTTTTGAAATCTAGAGCCAATTTGGACAGTATGTAAACAACCTACCATAGGTAAAATACCATATTTTAAGACTGTAGAATACACTATTTTTTCAAAGAATATGAACATTTACAAAAATGAAACTATAGGCAAGGCCTCCCTGGTGGCACAAGGGGTTAGGCAGCCACTGCAGCACAAGTCCAACCCTGGCCAGGTAGCTAACCCACATGGCTCAGCAGACCTCCTCCTCTTGCCCACTGCTCCCCACTCTGTCTCTGGTAAATATACTCACCCCTCCCATTCTTCCACCTCTGGTTCACACCCCAGCTCATGTATGCATAAATAAATAAAATAAATCTTTTTAAAAAATGAAACTACCTTCTGGGCCATGATGCACAGCATTAATTTTAAAGTACTAAAATCATACAACTGTTGGTCTTTGACCATGGTAAAAATAAACTAGAGATACAGCAAGCATCATCAAAGAAACAAACAACAACAACAACAAAAAAAAAACCAGAAGACTACATCTGAAGATTCAGTGAAACTATAAACACTGATAGAAATCAATGTAAGAATTCTTATTATCACATTGTTTTATGTTGGAAATAAGGGTAGGAGGAGCAAAAAAAAAAAAGAAACTGATAGTCCTATCCAATATAAGTGAAATAATATGGAGTTCAATTCAATATTTCAATAAATTTTTACTATATACTATGTTCCAGACATTTTTCTAAGCAATAGGGATACATCAGTGAATAAACAAACCAAAAGTCCTTCCCTCATGAAAATTATATTGCACTGGGAAAGCAAAATAAATAGTCGACGCATATACAGCACATAATGAACTGGTAACTACCATAGAGAAAAACAAAACAGGTAAGGAAAATAGAGTACAAAGTACAATACTGTAATTTAAAATGAAGATTAGTCAAGAACTATGTAATAGAGTAATTCTGAACAAATACCTTTAGAGAATAAGATAGAAAAAAGTGAGGAGTGAGCAAAAAGTGAGTTCTTAGCAAAGAACAAGAATCTGGATTAGAAAAAATAGGAAGTGCAAAGTCTATAAAAGGAAAACATGTCTGGTACATTTGAAAAACAGCAAGGACACCAATGTAACTGGAATACAGTAACCAAGGTAGAGAATAAAAAATAAGGTCAGAGAGGTAAAAGGGGACACGGTTGTGTAGAGATTTTAGGATATTAAAGTAACTTTGGTTTTCACTCTGTGAGCAATGAGAGGTCATTTACAGGAGGGTCTGAGAAGAAAAGCTAAATAATTTGAAGAGGTTTTAACAAGATCCATGTTGAGAATTGACTGAGAGGTTGGCAAGGTAAAGGAGTAGGGAAATGATTCAGGAAATATATGGCAGTAATCCAAACTACTTGAAAAGAGTAGTATCAGCAGGTGGAGACAAGGGAAAAGATAGTTTCTGGTTATATCATTTGAAGTATAGAGTCAACAGGATTTGTAAATGGGTTGGATGGGAAGTCAAAAAAACAGGGAAAGGGCCTCCCCGGTGGCGCAGCGGTTGAGCGCTGGGTTGCGAAGCTGCCCGCGGCCTCTGCGGCTCCGGCTCGATCCCCGGCTGCTCCCCGGCCACCGGAGGAGGGTCCCACATGGCGCACAGACCTCTCCTGCCGCCCGCTGCTCCCCTCAGCAGTGTCCTTCTGTCCTTCTGCCTGCTCTGCTCCCCGCTCTAGCTCTGGTGAATTCTCTCACCCTCCCGCGCTTCTGACTGTACCCAGTGCATGCATAAACAAAACAAACAAACAAACAAATAAATAAATAACATGCCTCTAAAAAATAATAATTAAAAAAAAAGGGAAAGGTTTTCATCTAACATTTTTGTGTCCAGAACATTTGTTTGCTTTTTTTATTCTTTAATTTATAATTATTTATTCAGCAAAATATAAATTAATAAAATAATTAAATAATGGCTGTGTTCTAGGTAATACGGAAGGTGCTAACTCTATCTAGTTCGCTTTAATTTACCAAGACATCAGAAAAGTGTAATAAGGGAAGTGAGACAATAAATCAATCCCTGTTGCAATAAAGGCTTTCCCAGTGAATCCTGGGATTCTATGTTAGGAAAGCATCTATTCAATATCATTTCAATAGGTTTAAAAATCAGATAAAACATGGAACTTAAAACTTACCTGGGTATCTGAATGATGAGAAGTCAAAGATCCTCGATTATACAAATAAACCATGAAGTTTTCTGCTAAAAATAATCTGAATATAAAAAAGAGTAAGAGTTTTTTTAAAATATATTTTTTAAAATATTAATTCTTAAAAGTATATTTAAAAAACATATATGTAAAGTATCAGTTAGTAAACTAACAACTTTGGGACAAATCTGACCTACTCTCTACTTTGGTAAATAAAGTCTTATTAGATAGACCCTCACCCATTCATTTATGTATGGCCTATGGCTGCTTTCAGGCTACAGTGACAAGTGGAGTTGTTTTGAAAAAGATGGTATGGTCCTAAAAATCTTGAAGTATTCACTATAATATGGATATAGAGAAGTTTGCCAGCCCCTGACAAAGGTAGTGTATATATATATGCATGTATTTTTTATTCAAAGCAATACACAGTTACTCAATGTGTATTGCTTCTTTCATTCTTCCTAAATTTTACTACTATGATTATCTTTATAATGAGGTGGAAGAGTATTGTACAAAAGCCATTAATCTGAATATAGGTACTAAAACTACAAGTTTAAGTTCAGTCTTCTCTGATATTATTCTCTATACTTAGTTTGCCATTTTAATTTTGCTTCCATACTTATTGCTCACTCTTGTATCCAACGTAATGTTAACATGACCACTCAGACTATCTACTGCTGGAAATTCTCCACTAACACTGCTATTACATGGTTTACTTATGGCCCCCCACCCAGTTGTCAAATACAATAGGCACTTTGAAGTCAAGTAAAACTACTCTGATTCACTTCATAGTGTTGACCACAATCTCCCCCATTCCTAAAACATCTGTTCTTGAACTTCCCCGTGGTTTCCCTCATATCTTTCTCTCTACTTTTATAAGTAAGTCCCTTCATCTAGATTCTTGTTTTTTCTCTTTAATGTTTCCACAGTATTCAGTTCTGGGTTGCTTTTCCTTCTCACCTTTAATATTTACCCCCACCTCTATAGATTTACATTATTCATTTTTACTGCTTCATTTATACCTACATAAAAAGATGGCATTGAAATTCACACCTTTCTCCCATGTTTGAAACTACATCTATCAATAGGATATTTCTTCTAGAAATGATCCCATATTTCCAATGACTCAGTTATATTTCCTTTCTCTTTCACTGCCCCACCAAATCTCTGCTACCACTATATTCAATCTGTCAGCTAATCTTTTTTCTGCCATCTCAGGTCTCAAAAAAAAAAATCACCTACCTCCACTCAGCCATAGTTCTTCTCATTATTTCTCATATAGGTTATTTACAATAACTTCCTGTCACTGCACTGTCATAATTAATAGGTGATTTCTGAAAACAATATACACATGCTCTCTCCATTTCCCAAACGCCAGCCCCTATATTTCTTATACTGTTTAGAGTCCATATAAGATACTCAAATGCAATGTGAGTTTTCTCATTTCTCTTTTACATTTGAAAACTCTTTGGGATGTCATTCATCATATTCTTCCTTTCTGCCTAAAAGAGGTTAACTATCCTTTTCCTCAATACCATTCTTTGGCATCTTACACATCGTATCATTTGTTTACACATCTGTCTTAAAGAAAACTTTCCTTAGTCAAAAAAAACTTTGCTTTTTCTTTCTTAAAAAAGCATTCATCTGAGAATCCCTTTCTTCTTTCTTTGCCAAATGCTTTGGAAAAGTGTCTTACACTTACTTCTGGCTACACACAATTCATCTTCTCTAGCTTTACACCCAAAATTTAACTGAAGCTGTCCTCTTGAAAGTCACAAATTACTTTCAGTCAACCTTTCTCAACTGAGTTTCCATCACATAAGTAAATCATGCAGAAAATTATTTCAATTGTTTCTCAATTCTCTGAAAAGTAGTGTAAAGTTACTACTATTTTCCATAAATTATTCATCAGTTCCCATAACAGTGTATGATTTGCTTTGCATATTAAATCCCTTGTTCATATCCCTCATGATGGGCCTGCCTCCCTGATCAAATCCCAACTATATGTTCACTCACTACCTTACTTCTTATATTGACACTCTGCCCTGATTACCAGGTCCTACTTATTCTGCCAATTTAAAATCATAATCTTCAGGAGACAAATCCCTGCATTTTCTATTCTAAACCACCCCATTCACAAAAGATTACTTAAGGTATAAGGACCAAAATTTTAATTAATGAACTGATGAGCATGTGAGACAACTAAAAATTTTAATAACTAATATATTTTAATACTTAATATTCCATTTTTAATATAAGTTTAAAAATTTATATAAATAAAGTGAAATCCAAAACTAAATATAAGATATTACCTTTGCTTAAGGTGCACAATATATGGTTTCTCATCTATTGGAATAATATAGGATATCTGTTCCTAGAGAATCCAGAACAACTATGAATGAACACAATGTAATGGAAGAAAAATAGCAATTTACATAAATTATCCCCTCCCAAAAAATGCTTAAAATGTCTTGATTAAAATGAATCAAAATGTTATCTAAAATCTGTAACAATATGCCAAAGAAGAACAAAACCAAAAACTTGTAGAAGAATTAAATACTAAAAATTAGAGCAGAAATAAATAGAAATCAAAAAGACAGTTCAAAAGATCAATGAAATTGAAAGCTGGTTCTCTGAAAAAATAAAACAGACACACCTATAGCTGGGCTCATCAAAAAAAAGGGGAGAAAGCTTAAATATTAATAGAATCAAAAGCTAACGAAAGTTACAACAAACCCTGCAGAAATCCAGAGGCTAATAAGAGATTATTATGAACATTACATGGAAACAAATTCAAAAACCTGTTTAGAGTCCATATAAGATACTCAAATGCAACGTGAGCTTTCTCATTTCTCTTTTACATTTGAAAACTCTTTGGGATGAGATGGACAAATTCTTAGAATTATGTAATCATCCAAAGCTGAATAGTGAAGAAATAGAAAACCTGAACAACCAATCACAAGCAAGGAAAATGAAACAGTAATCAAAACTCTTCCAAAAACAAAGTCCAGGACCAGAAGGCTTCACATGAAAATTCTACAAAACCTCCACAGAGGAACTAATACCTATTCTGCTCAAACTCTCCCAAAAAATTGAGAGTAAGAATACTTCTAAACACATTTTACGAGGCCAACATGACTATACTACCGAAAACAGAAAAAAAATAAAACTATAACCAATCTTCCTAGTGTATACAGATGCAAGAATCCTCAACAAAATCTTAGCAAACCGAAACTTATAATGCATTAAAAGGACTATACACCCACTAAGTGGGATTTATAACGAAACACAAGGATGGTTCAACATATAGAATCAATCAATGTAATTCACTACTTCAACAAAAAGATAAAAACTATATGATCAAATTAATAGATGCCAAGAATGTGAAAAGATTCAACATCCATTTATGACGAAAACTCTCAAAAAATGAGGGTAAATGCAACACATCTTAACATAAGAGCATAAATGTGAACTTGTTGACAAATCATAGTAGGTATATTTTATGCTCTTTTCCTTTAGTTTTTATGTTTTAATCAAAGCACTACTCTAAAAACAGTTTTTTAATTCCAACTATCAACTTAAAAATATGTGTATTTTCACCAGTTCATTTCAGCTGGAAGAGCTGATGGGACATGTAAAATGATACAGTCACCATGGAAAACAGCTTGGTCATTTCTTAAAATGTTTAGCATAAATTTACCATGTGACACAGCAATTTCACTCCTAGAATCAACTCAAAGTAAAGAAAAAAATATATCCACACATACATGTTCATAAAAAAGTATTCATGAGACAATATATGAAAAATAACCCAACCATCAATTGCTGAATGGAAAAACAAGCAAAACATGATATACCTACATCTATTAAGTAATAAAAATTAATGAAGTACTGATGTTACAAAACAGATAAACCTAAGTGAAAGAAGCCCAATGCAGAAGTCTATATAAATAGTATGTTTACATTTAAATGATATGTCCAGAAAAGGCAAAATTATATAAGCAGAACACAGAACAGCAGTTATCACAGGCTTGGGGTGGAAACAAATAGTTATGAAAGAACTTTTTAGGAGAATAGAAATGTTCCAAAATTGAATTTCAGTGATGTTCACATACTCTTTGTACTAATAATCACTGAGCCATACATTTCCAATGGGCGAATTCTGTGGTGTGTAAATTATACCTCAATAAAGCTTAAAAATATAAGGTTTTATCAAAAGATTGACAACTTCATACTTGCTTTACTATATATCTGTAACCCCTGATACTTAGCACATATTTATACACATAATTCCAGAGAAATATCTGCTAAATAAATTGATGAGTAAGAATAAGAATCCCCTTTTCTAACAAAAATAATAAAAGTGTTTCTCCTAAGAACTGTTAGGCACAGGGATGGAAGATTAAGGAAGGAGGCTTTGCAATTAAAAGTGATTCTCCTTAACCATTGTGGAGAAAATTGTTCTTAATCTGAATCATCTAGATAGCTCAAGACCCTAATTCTTTTACATTATTTTCTGATTTTGAATTTAAAAAAAAGCTTTACCATAAAGAAACAACAAATGATAGACAAAACATATCAGTATGATGTATATATTTACTTTATCCATGAAATTTTTCAATTCCTATTCAGTAGTATTACTAACTATACACATATCATAATGGAATGTATACATTTCATTGCTATTTAATAAAAACAAGAAATTTTATATAATATTTTTGATAAAAACATTTCTTACATTTTCTATTTTTGAATTACTTGTATTTGCTTGAATTTTCTCTGGAACTATGATTTGTAGAAATGAATTTTGAAAACCTGAAAAAAAAATTACAGTGTCTTAGAAAGACTAAAACTTTGTTCCAGTTTTTTACAAGGTTCACATACACAAATGAGTCATCACTTATATTCATAAAAATATCTTTAAATGCTTAATTTAAAAACAGACAAGATAATTATGAAAGAACCCAAAAAAAAGCAGGGTAAATTTAATATTTGTTCAAATTACATAATTTGCTTTCCTGCAGAAAATAGAACAAATAGGTGCCCAAAATTCAAAAGTATACTTCAAGAAAATACTACTGAAATAAAAGATTTGAAACAATACACTAGGAAGTACTCTTAATTTCAGAAATAACTGATAATAACTAATCAAAACTGGAACATATTCTAGTAAAGGTGTCAGTTGACTAAGATAAAGAATCCTACAGTCCTAGGAGCAAAAAGAAAAACAAGAAAATCATAATGTGCGTAAGGGAGAAAAGCAAGCTGACTTGAGAATATTTAATAGCAGTATTCAAAAGCATTTAAAAATTGATTTAAAAAGTCCCAAAAAATCAAGAAAAGTATGCACCGAGAAATATTATTTTTTAAAAATACCTGACATGTAATAAACATTATAAACTTTGATTTCTCTATTATTATTTTCTGAAGATTTTTCCCCACCATCTTTCCTTGTATTCCACTTATATTCCCTATCTTTCCCTCCTCTCTCTTAACCGCAGAGCCCTCAGAATGTTTATTAATAGCCACTGATTTCTGAAAGGATTTTACATTATCAAATTGCAAATGTTCAGTATTCATTTTTACCATTCTGTATTACTTTGCTGCATTCTCTCAAATTGCCTTCATTTTGTTAAAAAAGGCTGCTTTTCAGCCTCTACAGCACGGATTTGATTCCCAGCCAGCCAGGGAGATACCCACATGGCGCAGCAGACCTCTCCTGTCTCGCCTGCTGTTCCCCTCAGCATTGCTCTCAGTCCATCTGCCTGTTCTGCTCCCTGCTCTGTCTCTGGTGAATCCTCTCATCCTCCCGTGCCTCTAACCTGTACCTCAGCTCTTGTATAAATAAATCAATCTTTTAAAAAACAATAAAAAAGCGCCTCCCCTGGTGGCTCAGCGGTTGAGCGCTGGGCTGCAAAGCTTCCTGCAGCTTCTGCAGCGCCGGTTCGATCCCCGGCTGCCGGTGAGGGTACCACATGGCGCGCAGATCTCTCCTGCTGTGTCCACTGCTCTCCTCAGCAGTGTATTTTGTCGGTCTGTCTGTTCTGTTCCCTGCTCTGGCTCTGGTTAATTCTCTCACCCACCAGCACTTCTGACTGTACCCCAGTTCTTGTATAAATAAATAAATCTTTGGAAAAAAACAATAAAAAATAAAAAAAAAAGTGGCTGCATTTCATCCTTTCTTTTGACTATATGATACTCGTTGGTGTGATTATACCATATTTTCTTGGCCCAATTGCTATCAATGGACATTTAGGCTGCTTCCATATCCTAGCTATCTTAAATAATGCTTCCATGAACACTGTGGAACAAATGGGTTTTTTGTTGGTTTCTTTTGACTTTGTGGATATCTCATTTATTAATTGCTCAAATCTGCTGCACATTTATTAAATTGGGTTTTTTTAGTGTTGAATTATATGAGTTTTTATATATCTTGGATATTAATCACTTATTGGATATATTAAACTTTCTCCCATTCAATAAGATGTCCATTTAATCATTTTATTTTTTCTTTTGCTGTATAGCTTTTAAACTTGAGGTAATTCCAATGCTTTTGTCTTAATTCCCTTATCATAGGGTTCAAGTCACCAAAAATATCTTTACTGTTGATATCATTGACTATATCACCATTGTTTTCTTCTGTGTATTTTATCACTGAAGTCTTGTATGTGAACTTATAATCCATTTGGAGTTTGTTTTCTTGCACGGTGTTAGTGATAATCTGACTTCATTCTTTTATGTGTGGCTATGCAATTTTTCCACCAACTTCTGTTAAAGACACAGTCTTTTCCCCATTTTACGGTCAGGGCTGCTTTATCATAGCAGCACTGTATAACAGGTTGTATGAGCAGGTACCCAGGATGGAGGGTACATTGTTGGAGAGCTGGGGCACATAGGGAGTGCTTTTGACTTGACAGCTGTATCCTAAACTTTGGTTTCCTTACAGAAGAGTCTACTACTTGAAGCCCAGGCTGAAATATCCAAAACCCCTGCCACCCCTTTCCCCAGGGTTAAAACCGAAACAAAGAAATGCGTGAACAAACTAGAACTCAAGCACCTACCAGTAGCCAGAGCCAATAACCCAGGATAAGACTCCTGAAAAAGAAAAGGGAACAAATACACTGAAATACACTGCTGAGGGGAGCAGCGGATGAGACAGGAGAGGTCTTCTGTGCCATGTGGGTAGCTCCCTGGATGGTGGGGATCAAACTCCTGCTGCAGAGGCTGTGGATAGCTTCACAGTGCTGTGCTTAACCACTTGCACCCCCAGGGAGGCCCTCCTGTTTCAATTTCAATGCTTGTAACTGGTGTGCTGAATTCATCAATTTCTTTCTGGGTTAGTCTTAGTAGATTATATTGATGGAGAAATATA